TCTTTCCCTTTCCCCCTGGTGTTATATTCTCGATGCCTTCGACATCTCTGCGGAAGTCGCATGTGTAAAGGTTTTTCGCGTACGTGGACATCGACGAAGACGCGAAGTGATTCGTATACTAGTGCCTTTGCCGGGGATACAAATCTTGCGCGTCATTATGCAATAGACGTGCAGCTGACGAGAAAGAACTGCCTCCTCTGTTGAGGACGAGGACGGCGGTGGTGCTGTGCGGCATGTTTTTATCTTTGTTTTCCAATTCCGTGCCACGACGAGGAAACGCTGCCGCTGCCGCCGCCGCCGCCGCCACCGCTGCTGCTGTTTTCTATATTTCGCGACGAGTAATCACGTGGGAATGCGTCAAACGATGCGAGCATACCTGTTATTAATCTCTACGACAACATGTATAATTGGTAGTGATATCTAGTGTAATTATGTGTAACATTTTGTATCATAGTGCTGAGCGCGAATTTTTACCTTTGAATACGCTTCCTTCCTACCTTCAGTCTTTCCTTTTTTATTTGATACGGTTATCTCCTTCATTATTTAGTCAATTTTCGCGAGCAAAGTGTTCGAAACTTTCTTTCATGCGTACCGTTTTGTTTCATCGCATTCCAATTTCTTAATAAGTTGTTATCATTCGCCGGCAGCCGCTTACCGCCTCAGCTTATTCTACGTTCGAAGTTCACCGCTCGAAAATAGTGATTCAATACACTGGAATATATCTTCGTGGGAAGAACGATCTTGCCTTTCTGACGTTCCTCTTGACTTACTTTGCGTGTTTGGATGTTGCCTTTGCGAGAGATATCGCTTTGAATAATCTACAATTTTGAACGTGCTTCCTTTCTGCAAGTAAAAAATACAAGGTAAGCAGAATTTTGTATTTTGCTTCTTTATTAAATTAAGTATCCCTTAATTTATTTTTTTTTACTTTGTACAATCTAAATGGAAATTATTTTATGTAATATTAGGTTCATGTATTATTGTCGTTATTTATTAAAAAATAAATAGCTACTTACTAAAATTTTTCTTATTTTCAAGTACTTGTAATACACTACTTTTTAATTGATTTTTTCTATTAGTGGCTATCTAATAATGTTTGATAGATGATGCATATCTTATAAATTTATAAATGTTGAAAGCAGAAATAAAAAAGTATAACTTGCAATTTAATGTGATATAATGTAATGTTTGATTACATATATGTATACTTATTATACATATTATTAACTTGATTCACACATGCTACTTATTTCAGTATAAATTTTTGCTTGCGTAATTCTTTTTTTTTATATATTTTTTACTTGAAGTACTATAATGAGTATTTTGAATTTTAATTATTTATAAAGTATTACAGTGTTGATAAAAAGAACTACATTAAAGTGAGCTAAATGAACCTATTGTAAATGTTTATGAACATTGAACAATGAACATTTTTTTTATTATATTGTATATATATTTTATATATTAATTTTAGTATATTGCTATATATATCAATCTCATTGATATTAAAATGAGACGATACCCATAAATATTTTCACTATTGCATAAATAATTATTTTTGTATTATTTATTTGCAGATTAATGTGATGATTGGTTCAAATCATATAAGTAAAAGATACAAATGAAGAAATTATGCAAAATGGAGAATACTGTTGAAACAACATAGTTGTTTTATTCATATCAGATGAATAAAGAGTAAGACGTGGTACAAAAGGGGAAGAAAATAGAAGAAAGAAGGAAATTATACTGGAGGATAACAAGAGTTAATACAAGTGCAGGACAATAATTTAGTAATGGATGAATGGGAGTGAGCACAGCATATGTGAAGTGTAGGTGTGGGTGCGTACGCACGTGGGAGCCTCTGGATGTCGAGGCCGCAGCACTGGCAGTGTCAGTGGCAGTGATGGCCCCTGCTCTGACGGAAGGTGGTCCTCAAAAGCCTGAAAATTTGCTCCCTTCCCTTCCAGCTGGTGGATTTCTTTCCCCAGAGCAGGCTACGCAGGTGTGTCAGAATCGTGAAATTCTGGCAAAATTTGTTGTTTCTGCAAACGTTCAACCATCAAAGATTGATGAGAAGTGCTTACATGGTATATCCAAGGACCTCATTCGTGATGTCATCAACTCGAAATATGCAAATGATCTTGATAGTTTGTCTACATTTACGCACGGATCTGACTTGATTACAAAGAAGGCATTGATAAAGCAGGATTGTGAACAACTGGACATTCCGGGCAGTCCAGGAAAAAAGGTGACTGATACTATAATGAACGACCCATCTATGGGTGATCAAGCGGACAATATGGGTTTCTTAAAATCAAGCGCAGACTTGCCTTTGGTGGGCTCAGAAACAGCAGGAGACAATAAAAATCTGGATGTGGATCAAATAATGGCCTTTGGTACTGACATAACTACAGATAATGAACAATGTAACATGGGCAATGTCGGCGATATTGGACAAAATGTTGAGGAGATTTTACAAGTTATTAAATCTATTGAGGGTGTGGAAAATGCAGAAAATATATCTGCAGGTAGTAGTGAACCAGTGCAAAGCACTGTGGATGGAGTGGAGATGTTTTCTATGCCTGAAGAAGGTTTTTCATCCTTTGAAAGAGATTTACTTGATGTTGATGTAATGAGTATTTGTAATATTGCTGATGCAGTGGACCAACAGAAAATTAACACCTTAAAATTGCAACAAGATATTGTAGCCCAAAAACAACATGAGAATGAAAGGAAATGTGCATTTTTATTAAGAAGACTGAGGAAGCTTCAAGCAAGAATAATAGGCAGACATGTTGCGGAAGAAAATACTGGAGTTCTTGAACTTGCTCATCATGGAGTGAAAAAATATCTTTTTCAGGAATTGGTTAATATCAGTTCTAAATCTAATGTTAGAAACTTTCCTGAGATTAATAGTAGTTTGAGTTCGTTTTTGCAAAAGATTGAAAAAATGTGTGTTGCCCAGAGCAATAGTGTGAATCGTCAGCGATTATGTTGCCGATATTTTGGTGATGGATCGCGTGATAATTTAGGTAATACTTCTGGTAATAATAGCAACCGTCAGTCAGTGTTTGGTACTCCTCAAGTTAAAGTTAAAGGTGAAGAAGTAGAGAGTGTGGCTGGACCTTTAGCCACACAGTTACATGTTGTGGAATCTAATCTAGACTCTGATTGTACTGCATCTAGTAGTGGTGGAGAAAGTTGTGATGAAATGCAATCATTTAATAATCCACACCAGCAGAATATATCTATGTAAGTTTTAATTTCTTTTATTAAAATAATTTATTTTTGGTTTTGGGACCATTCTATTTTTTCTATACATTTTAGTAGGATGGAAATGTGAGGTTGAAGTAATTTTATATGTTTATCTCTTAAAGTAGTTTTTAATGTAAAATTTATTGTGATATAATAGTATTATCTTCTTTTAAACTTTATTCAAACTTTACTCTTAATAAATATTTGAAGTTATTAAATTTATTAAAAACTGGAAACCGAACAGTATTTTGGGCCGGTTTTAGATCAGTTTATGTTTTCTTAATAATGTTGTTTAAGGTTGGATATTTATGTGTACTTTTAACAAAAATTATTATTAAACGTAAATATAAAGGTAATAAATATATTTATACAAATAATAATTTGCAAGTTACAATCTGAATAGAAATATACTTTTTAAAGTTTTAAATTGATTAAATGTTTTTTTACTAGCAATAATTTGAAATTATTATACATTTTCCATTATTTATTTATTTTTTTTATTTATTATATGCTTATCAATATCACTTGTAGATCAAAAAGAGCAGCATGGAGGTATGCACAAGATCGTGCAGGTGTAGCAGCAAGATGGACATGGTTGCAAGCACAAATATCAGATTTGGAATATAGGATTAGACAACATAATGAATTGCAACGGCATGTTAGAGCTAATAAGGGATTAGTGATACTTGATAATGCAGAAACAGTGAATGGGTATAGTGGTGTTTTGCCAGGTTCTACAAGTCGTTATAATTCGCCAGAAGGCGAATTACCCGCTAGTAGGACTCGGCCATTTGTGTGGAGTTTTTATAGAAAAAGAAAACTACTACAACTTGATAAGTTACACGAAGTCTCGAAACGTGCTGCAAAAGCATCAACAGTAAGATGTAATTGTGATCATGTATTACCACCATGTGCTTTATGCACTGGAAGATTGGATCCAATGCAACCACAAGAACCAATCGAACAAATGTCTGTACAAGAAAGGGTTGCACTTGTGGATCCTAGTTTTCATCCTGTTTTGTCATTTTCTGATGGTAAATAATACATTACTTTTTTATATGTTTGTTTGTATATTTTAGTATGAATTTATCATAATAATGTGTTAGAATTTTAAGATTTTATTTTATCTTTCTTTTTATATTTTATTGTGCAGAAATTACACAGGGAACTCATCTTGAAGCCATTATGAAATCAGTGGAATGGCAACAAAAAATGTTAAGAGGAAATTTGCGAATTACGCGCTTAAAAGATAAAGATACTAATGAAAGAAGAAATAAAAAACTTCCAGGGCATAGAGCAAAATATGCAGCTCGGTTAAAAAAATCATCTTCAAGTATCCTTACTGCAAGTATGTAATGTTAGATAGTATAATCATATATTGAGTAAATATTTTGTAGTTTCCTTTTGTATTATGTTCTATTCTATTATTTGTGTTAATATTATTTGCTACTTTCATCATTTTAATTATTGACATTTTTTATAAAGGAATTAAAAAGAAGATGTTGAAAGGAAAGAGAAACAGGCTTGGTCATGATAGAAGTGTCCATGGTTTAAGTAGGAAGAGGGTACAGAAACTGACAACTGAAGATGATGATGATATTAGTGCCCTTTCCAGCTCTAGTAAGCATTCATCTCCAGTGCCTTCTCCTCTGCACCACACTATTACTTCTACTCTAGAGAAGAATACAGTTAAAGAAAAGAATTCTCATGGGTTAGTACCTTTAATTATATTTATTAACAAAATATATAAAATATATAATTAAAATTGTTCAAATGTTTTACTTTCAGGCGTTTGAGGCAAAACTCGTACGATATTGATAATATAGTTATACCATATAGTGTCGCTGCTTCGACTAGGCTTGAAAAATTACAATATAAAGAAATATTAACACCTAAGTAAGTAATATTTTATCAAATTTCTCATAACTTAAATAAATAGTTATTAATATCATAGTATTTTGTTTTTATAAACTAAAGGTGGAGGTTATGTGAAGAACCTTCAAAGGTTGATATAAAAAATGGAGTTATGCATAGGCCTAGTCAAGACAGTGATGTAAGTATTGTAGAGAATGACGTAGGTATATCATAAATATGAAAGTCTAAGTAATGTTTTTCTAATGAGATTAAAAATATTTCTATATTATTTTTAGTTTGAGGATATGTCGGACGAAACTATTGCTTTGAGACATGAACGAAGTGAACGAGAAGAAAATAAACGTTTTATGACATACATGACCATGCCGCATCAATCACGTATTCGGCATAATCGTAGAACAGACAGTCGAGCAGATAGTGGTGCGAATACACCAGGTAATTGTATTTTTCTATAATCTACACTTAATTTTGTAATCATTGAGGTAAAACAAATTTTATAATATCATGGATTGTGTTAAGATAAATCATAAATTGTTTCTCAACTGTTAGATCCTATGTCTCCACACGCAAGTGATTTTGGTGGAGATATGATGTCACCAATTACATCTCCTCCTGCTACTCCTCAAGTTCAAGATTCAGAACATCAACATAACTCGGATAATATGCATCGAACATCTGCTTTGCAGAATGCTTTTCGACGTCGTACTATGCCTACATTGAGAGTAGGAAAGGATGATATTAATGTTTCGGTAAATGAGGATGACAATGAGGTATTATTTTTTGAGCTGTTTTAAATAATTAATAAGATGATATATTATAACATAAAAGAAATAATATTTTTTCAATATTATGTAATATTTTCCAATAGATTTTGCCGTATGAACCAAGGATATTTCCACTATCCGAAGAAGTTTATGACAAAATGCTAGAAGTAATGCCAGATGGACATTGGCAAGCTTCATCAGCATCTCTTTGTTCCCGTGATGAAGAAAAAGCAGATGATGTACGTACACTGTGCTTGTACTAAATGTTTGAGTGTTAATTATTTAAGTCAGAACTTTTTATTACAAAAAAAATATCTGAATGCTCGTACTGATTATTAATGTAAACTTTGAGCCAACTTTCATGGCTCCTCGAGGCTATCTCTGGTAAGCAGTGTCATTTGATGCTTCCTATTTTAAACACGATTGATTTTATTTTTATTGCATATTCCAGATTTTAGCAATATTTAAAAAAGATTGCGTTGCGTTTACATGAGTTTTATAAGCATTAGAATCTTTTAATGAATTAGCCTGCTGACTGTTTTTTTCAGCTGTTATAAGCTTGTACATTTAAATATAGTTTTTGTAATATATGCAGAATAACCGTTGGAAAAAATAGTTTTTCATAACTATTTAGGTAGACGTTAACATTTCGTTTCTAGGATGGGGAAATGGATTCTCCAGAATCAGATTCGACAGAATCAGCTTGTTGTGACATAGAGGGTGAGGATCCCAATGATCCTGAATGGACAGTAGCTGACGATAGGGATACTGAAAAGGAACGAATACGTCCGACGGCTAAAAGATAGGATAAAACCTTTAACACATACAGTATGTCTACATCGTCGTTACTATATGCAGAAGCTACCTGTCAATTGTTATATATACCTGTCGGTCATGTAACATGCACCTTAAGTTAATGGTATTATGAATCTGTAAAGTGTATTATAAATATAAATTTTATAACTTCATTCTGCTTAAATTAATGGGAAACCTTAATAATTGCTTTTTAAGTATTGCTATTTCGGCCAAAGCATTAGAATTGTACTGATTATGATCATCCTTTTATTTAGAATAAGAATATTGTTATATTTTTCTTTCACTGTTATAACTAATAATACAGGACATAGTCCTTCAAAAGTTAGAATCTCGTATGAACAGAATTAGACAATTTTATATTTAAAGAAAAAACAAAAAAAAAAAAAAAAAAAAAAAAAAAAAAAAACAAAAAATTAAATAAAAAGTGTATTTATATTATAATCAAACTTTTACGTTAAATAAAAGTGCCAACTGAAATGTTCTGTAGCATTATCCTTCGATGTTGCATATTTTTTCTAGTTGCGACAAAGCGATGTTCATTGTATATTAATCGAAAGCATTCAACAAAAAACCAGCTACTATGAACACATATAATAATGTATTGTACCCTTGTATTATGTACATCGTTATATCTCTATTCTTGATTTCTCTTATGTTGTTTATCATTTTCTCAAAACAATTTCATAATTTTTGCATCTCATATAACAGTCAAAAACAGTTTATTATGATCATTTATATTTACTTCATATTTTTATGTAATAATCTGCAGGTAAGAACATGCTGTTACAGAAGGATAATATACTTAGTACATTTTAGTTTTTACAGCGAGATAAAGTACTAAACGTGAATTACACACAACTTTTGTTATCAAAAAATAGCTGTACCCTGTATTTTGACTGTTATGTTCTTATTATTTATAATTTATAGAGCATGAATTCATGTTTATTTAAGTACCAAGTTACATGTTCAAAATCTCATGTCACTGTGATTTCATAATTTTCTAATAATCTGTGATATTACATGTAATTTCTTTCTTATCACGTATTTTATATTTAGTCAAACATACCTATATTTAAAAGTCATACGCTTAGATTTTGTACATCACATTTTGAATGAAAATAAACAGGCAATAATAGAACATGTTTTTCTTTCACTACTCATGTGTTAATTCATATTACGAATTAAATCAAAACGTTAAGTGAACTAAATAGGATTGTGAATGCGGGACAAATGTGTATTTTTATACAATCTCGTCATTATTTAATAGCAGTTAAATAGTATTTTATTTGAAAAATTTCATATGTATGTTCGTATAAAAGGTATATCAAATTGAGGTGAAAAATATAATTGTATATAACAAATTATTTAAGAACCACCAAAGGAAATGTACTGAGTGTCTAGATTCTCTAAATTTACTATTGCAGCAGTATGAGTAGTATTAAAACGCGGTACAGAGATTAATCTAACGGTTTGGTTTTCATTACCTGAAAATAAAATTGTTAATCAATTTTTAAAAGCAAGATATTTTACAATAGAACATACGAACCTTTCCACAATTTTGTTTCAAATTTATCTGTATTTCCTACGAAATATATATCTGGACATTTTTCTATAATGAACAAATCTTTTTCATAGTATGGGCAAGCTAGTAATGTGTCTGGTGCAGTTGGACACAAATGTCTCCATAGTAAGGTTTTTTCTAACCAATCCAGAGGTGAAATACCAGTTTCACCTGTTACTTTAATGATATCTTTAATTGATTGACCGCTAGTACCAATAATTACTCGTTCTTCAATTTGACTAATCCATGGATTTGTGGTACTTTTAAAGTTTTCAAATCTATTATACAGAAATAAAAGTTGTAAATTTATATATTCATATTTGTTGTTCAATTTTATAATTATTTTGTTTTAAGATTTAATGTGTATAAACCTAGATGATTTAGGTAATAGGCAAGAATGAAATGGTTTTTGTGGCAACATAGAATTAGAGGGATCATGTTCTCCTGGCATTAAAGTAATATAACAACACATTGCCAGATTACTTAGAAATGTATCCATAGCTTTTATTACTTCACTAAGTCCTTTAACTGTATTTGTTGTTGTAGAATGTGATGTATTATTACTTTTTACAGTGTTACCTAATAAGAGAAATAAATTACTACACAGCTATATTACGTAACTATATTCTCAAATTATATAGTATTATATATAATAATCATAATAGTAGATATGATTTACCTGCTATAATAAGACGAATAATAGAAGTATTATCCTTTTGTACTGTTGTATTACCAGCCATTCCACATATCCACTCTACAAAAAGGGACATTTCTAAACTTCTATAATTATTGGACAGATCTAATCCAGATACTATTACCAATTTATTTTGTGATGTATATTCTGTTAAAGATGCTTTTGGTGCACATCCAGGAAAACACCAATCTTTTACCTAAATATATATTATATTGGACATTAAACTATACAAGTATAATAATAACTAAATTTATATTATTTCAAATTAAAATTACCATAAATGTTCCATCGCTATTTTCATTACCCAATACAGCACAAACAATTCCAGTAATAATTTGCTTTAAATCAACTTGCTCTCCTACTAATTTAATACGCAACATTTCATCTTCTAGAAATGGTTGATCTTCCTGTGAACAATAATCTGATTTATTACAGGAAACATGAAGTTGATGTTCTTCACTAAGTTCCCTTAAAATTGATGGTTTTCCTTGCTGATGTTTATACAATGTACCAATTACTATACATTGTTCATTTTCCAAATTTTCTAACTCAGCTAATTTTACGATGGGAATGTTTTCTGTATGAAAAGAAAATCATGTAAAATTACATTTTGTTATTCATAAAAAAAGAATTTTGTATATTTTATTATGCGAACATATAATCCTCGTTAAATATGTGATATTTGAAAGAAGAAAAGAAAACTTAATACACATACTCCATTTAGCTTGAACACGAGGAATTAAAACATTCCTTAATTCAGTAAGTCTGGCTGAGTATATATGTGAAAATTGTTTGGTATAATCACTTCTCGTGTTCATGAACTTTTCTGAAAGGTCCTTATATTGAGCTTGTTTCCTTTCAAATATTTGTGATTTTTCCTTCTCCAACGTCATAGCTAAGCCACTGTCGTTTTCTTCAGTTTTATGAACCATTTTTAAGTAAAATGTATGAAAAATTTTATAAAATAATTTATGTTCAATCGTATACAAATACTTTACTGCCTTCTAAGTTTACCGTTAAATTTGTATGAAATGCTTGGCCTCACTAGCGCCACTATAAAGCCGGTTGCATCGGGAACATCTCTAGCATTTAAAATACCGTTGATATAATCAAATAGCATCTAAAGTTTTACTTTGAAAAATTTGGTACATACAAATTAAGTCCAGATATTTGCTATAATATTGTTTTGTTTTTTAAATAATATTATAAGGAATAATAAATTTTTGTTACGCAAGAAATAGATTAAAAAAAATGCTATGATAAATGACACGGGTGAAAGTAAAAAACAGTTGAAACTATGTATTTTATTTGTTTTATTATTTCCAAATCTTGCTTAGAACCTGAAGAAATTCTTTCACAATCTAATAATTAATTAATGATAATTAAGTTTAACATTAACGCCTGACAACGACGAAGTAAAGATTATATATATCTATATATATGTATATATATATATATATA